AGAAATTTTCAATACAAAAATACAAATTAATTCAATTTTGTTTATTATGCAGAGAGTATAGGAAAAGGATTATTTTGATTCTTAATTGGCAAGAATATTTTATTGCTTTAAATAATTAAATATACAAAGCAATTTAAGCATTTAGTTTTATTTTAGAGATTTATTTAGCACTCTATCCCCTCCCATTGACGTTGGTTCTTTTTCTTCCCTCAAAACCAAATAGTATAACTTTAAATATGCTAAATATTTTTTTTTTTTGGAAAAACATCTTTAAAATACTATCAAACAATTTTTGGAATGGAATCATTAAACAGTTTTAATATTAGGAAAGTATGTTAATTGCACATTTTCAAGTTAAACCACATATAATACATGAGCATACTATATCATATACTCATACAGTGTACAGCATAAATACTATAATTTACTGTGTTTTATAGTATAAATATGTAGTATTTTGGTTACTGTGAAATAGCGATGGTATATTGCTAATACTATATACTGTGTAAATAGATACACTGTATTAACATACTACAGTGCTGCTGCTGCAAAATAGTGTGTTAACAATTATACACTGTGCAACTGTATACAGTTTAATATAGACTACTGTATAAAAGCTTACAGAATATGTGTACATATGCAGTGGACATTACTACATACTGTTACTATATTACCCCATATAGTTGGAATAGTATAATCTTTTCACAATACTACTGTACACACAATTGAAATAGTATTATAGTACATACAGTAGTACCATAGTAAGTATGGTTAAAACTCTGGGACTGTCAGATGTATTTTAAAGGGAAAATAGTGGCGTTATTGAGATTACTCAGAACAAAGCCACAGAATGTCTGAGAAAAACAAGGATAATATGAAGGACTACTGGGAAAAGACAAAGAGAAAGGTATGGATAAAAAAAACAACAAGGAAAAGAGGGGGTTAGGATTTGCCCGAAATAGCAAGGATAACAGATGTTTTGATATTTGATAGAAACAGGTGAAAATCTACTTTCGGAGCAAGACGGGAACCCAAAAAACAAACTCCTCTGTAAGATCAGACAATCGGTATTAATAGCAATACTGTCTGTGATGGTATCTGGTAAATCCATAAAACATTTTAAATAAAACATCAAATTACTCATTTTAAACGATCACATTGGTTACTAAACTTCCAACAAGACACAGATCAAAAGGATATAATTTTCAAAGACTTGCGCCGAGATTTTACTACACAAATCCTTGAAATGATTACCAGCCAATCCAAGGGTCTACGAAAGGGATACATAAAAATGGTATTTTTATACATTATTAAATTAATGAGAATATTTAAATAAATTTTTTTATATTAATATAATATTAATTAATAATAGGCATTCCAAATATTGAATTTTAATTCTTTTTTAATTCATTTGAAACAGACAGTAGGCCTATATAAATTTAACAAGTCACTTAATATCGCTATACCTGCAAGGCCATCACTAGTCTAGACTGTCCACACTATTAGGGCCTCATTCCCAGCAAAATTTCAGTAGTTATGAACACTCTGATTTTTATATATGTTACTAAGATTTATAAATAGGTCTATAATACGAAATTGCTACTTTCACTGAATGTAAACATTCCTTAACATGAAAAAAATGTAAAATAAGACTGAAATTTGATTTTTTTTTTGTGTTCTACACAAAATATAAACACGGATGAATTACTTATGCGTAAAACCAAAATTTATGCCAATATTTTTCCATTGTCTATAATAATTAGAGTAATGCATATGCATTTTTCTCTAAAAAAAAATACTTTAGTGAAATTTTGCAAGGGAATGGGGCTTTTGTGAGAAAGCTCGGTGATTTGTCCATATATGGGCATGATGATTTCATATTAAATCCATTCATGGCCAATTGCATGTATTTGTCACATAAAAAATTATAATATAGAAAGAGCTTTAGCTAAAACCTCATAAAGTATTAAAAAATTAACAAGGACTTCATAAGTCTTTTTATCCTAATGAGTATGTTTTCAAACCTGTTAAACATTAAATAAGCACCTTTGCAATTAAGGTCGGCATTTTGAATAAAACAGAAGTGTACAACATATTCTACAGTAAAGACCAATTACAAAGGAAATTAGCAGATTTTTGTATAGCTTTCCATCTATTCTTCAAAAGTTGTCATATAATAGCTGTATAGAAGAATAGACCTTTCCACAATGCCAATCATACTTAACTGACCAATCAGAAGAGGGCAAGGCATATGCACAGGTGCCACAAAGTGTTTAGGTAAGTTTATCTAGAGTTCTGAGCAGAGTCACCTACATGTATGCATGCGCTATAGCAATGTTCTGTTAAATACTATAGATTACAGCCAGAAAGGTGCTAAATAGACTGCAATATACAGGGGCGGATCAAGAAATGTCCAAGGGGGGGGGGGGGGGGCTGAAAGGTGGCCAAAAGTGGGGCTGATTGAGACAACAATATCCTAGGGGGTCTTGAGTATGCCCCCGCAAAATGTTAGTTTTCTAAATGCCTCAAAATAACCTCTGAGGCGTTTTCGCCGATTTTTTCATTTTCTTTCTTTCATTTTTCCAAAAACCCCCCAAATCCACCCCTGGTATACCAATTCACTCCCATGTCTTTTTGACATAATATAATGTACATGGAATATAGTCTTTATACACACAGGTTATTATTATAAGCATTAAATAGAAATTCTCATTCATGGAAAAATAGGTGACAGACATAAAATAATGCAATTTAATTTACTTTTTACATAATATTACAATGATTGAATACATACAAGAATATATGTTACTTTATATCACTTGCTATACATTACAGTAGTACATTTATTGTTTGCTATAAATATTAGTTTTTAAAATACTGTATATCAGGCCTTCATTTCAACAATTAGCAATAGGACATGGCCCTATAGAGAACAAGTTTTTTGGTTGAAATGAAAATTAATCATTTTATTTTTTAAATAATTTATTGAATTACTAAAAGTACCTCTGTTTTGGATTTTTGTGTTCCAATAATTTAAAGAATTCAGTTTTGAAATTCAGCATGGGTCCTGGGACATGGCCCTAGAGAACAAGTTTTTTGGTTGAAATGCTTAAAATAATCATTTTATTTTTAAAATAATTTATTGGATTACCAAAAGCACCTCTGTTTTGGATTTTGTGTTCTTAATTTAAAGAAATCAGTTCTGAAAATTATCAAGGGTCTTAAGTGTATCAAATGATTCCTGGGAGTAGCCAAGAAATCAGCATGGTCTCCCTCACTCTAGCAAGACAATAAAATGCTCATAAAATAACTAACTTCTAATAGCATTAGAGAGGTCAAAGTATGCTTGTGAAAACATCTCCTTAACAGTACTATTGAAGACAACAATGCTTGTGAAACTCTATGTACACCCTAGCTTGGTTGTTTGTGATTTTTAAAAAGGCCATATCCAAATCAAAACATCTGAGATCGAGTTGAAACGTCTGAGTCAAAATGTTGTAGTTTGAGTTGAAAGATTAAGCCACTAAATACTATTTACCTTTTTTACTTAACTTCCTAAAACTGTGGTATAGTGGTCAATAAACTTCTAATGAACGTTTGGTACCCATTGTATAAAAGACCTTAAACTCAGATCCATTTGTACAGTAGCGAAAATAGCTGGTAAATTTTAAAAACTATTTATAGAAGTAGTTCATAAGCACAACCTGACAATGTTTAGGGGTCAAAAAGAACGCATATTAGAAAGCTGGCATTCAGAGCTATGCACGCTAGTATCAATAATTCTCACAAATAGTACCTAATACACAGTTCATAGCTAGGTGGTCAAAATGTTATTATGCAAAATATAGACAGCAGTCTTATATTGGTCCTTGGTAATAGTTAAAATGGGATCTGCATTTATTAAATATTCATGTTTAAATACGGGTGGCATATACTAACATTTTTGTTTATTCAAAATTCAATGACATTTTGCATTTTCTGATGAAGTGCTTATCTGCAAACTCAAATATCATGTGATTATTAATAACCAGTATGGTATATACAGAAACATACATACATACATCATACATGTTAACTGTTTCTCAAACACCTTGGTACTGTATCTTGGGAGTAAGCTTCTTCAAATTAAGATGAGAATAAATATGGCTTTAATGAATAAACAAATTGCATGTATTAAAAAATTAAAAAAAACTTTAAAAAAGTTTTAAGGAAAAGGAATGTCTTTTAATATCACAAATATTATTTTTATTTATTCTTAAAAAAAAATAAAATAACATACAACACTAATAAATTAAAAATAGACAGCAAAAAAAAAAAAAAAAAAAAAAGAAGCAAATCCCTTTCTAGGAAAGAATATAGTTGATGAAGGTGGTAAAGTTTAACCATTAAAAACTTTGCAATTACATTTTAATATGTATTAAATGTGATTAAAGTATTAAATAAATTTTAATGTATTAAATAAGAAAAGAAATTTCTTTTAATATCAAAAATATTATTTTTATTTATTCTTAAAAAAAAAAAAAAATTAACATACAACACTAATAAATAAAAAATAGACAGCAAAAAAAAAAAAGAAGCAAATCCCTTTCTAGGAAAGGATATAGTTGATGAAGGTGGTAAAGTTTAACCATTAAAAACTTTGCAATTACATTTTAATATGTATTAAATGTGATTAAAGTATTAAATAAATTTTAATGTATTAAATCTGTTTATTAATGTGTTTCACTCACTTCAATCCACTATCCCTACCAGTGGCGTACCTAGAAGTCTAGAAATAGGGGTGCTGATGGGGGAGGGGGCACGAAGGTGAAGTGGGGGGGCCCTCGATGATCAGTTGAGGGGCGCTAATTCTCAAAATAAGGTGATTTTAGGTGATTTTTAACTACTTGACTGTGATTTTTTTGGGGGCCTCCTAGATACACCACTGCTCCCTACTAACTTACTTTCACCTCTCCCACAAATCCTTTGTAAATCCAACCACATAGTACAGTAGTTCATTATTTATTTATTTGGAATAACATTTCATATTTAATGGTATAACCTTAAAATGTAGTGTTACTGAGACTGAAATTACTTTAAATTCCAGGAAAGCATCACTTAAACAAGAATCAGTGAAACTTTTACAGATGAAACAGATGGTTAAAACTTCAACCTTTATTTGGTTTGCACAATAATGTCCAAGCTACCACCAACCTACTGAAGACCAGAGCATAACGATCAGTTCCTGTGTTTAACCATACATCTCCAAGTCACTGTCTGCCCCATTCTGTACTTCATCGCTGTAGTTCATCATCCTGGAGATGTGTCTCTTGTTGTCGGAGTATTCATTGAAATCATCGTCACTGGACAACTCCCCATACCGGTAGTCATCAAGGTATTCGTCAAACATATCTGTATGTCCTGCAATACAAAAGTATATTTGTTTTGTTACGAAAATATGTATATGTTTCATAATGTCCACTGTCAGCAATCCAGGTGGCATATGTGGGTTAACTGGCTTTAACTTTCCTACCTAAAGCTTTGTTCACGCTATCAAATTTTCTCTGACTAAAAACTGTTGTATTGCCCATATATAGTCATGATGTGCCTATATATGGTCATGATGTGATGTCATCATGACCATATAGATGTCACATGTTTTGTCAAATAAAATTTGATAGTCTGGACAGGTCTTTAGAAGAAGGCACAATTATATTATTTATTTTATTTATTTATTTTTATACCTTATTTAGCATTCCCTTGAGGGCCTAGTACAAAGCAAAATATAATAAAAATTGTAGTACGTCATCATCATTTTTGAATTACTTTAATAACATCTATAAGGGGGGAGGGGAATGGGGTATTCTGACAGGAGTTAACTTTTTTTAAAAATAGAAACAAGTAGGGCAGAGGTGTGAAGCAGTGGTGGGGATCCCAATGTTGTAAAAATGTTTTATAGGAGGCTTCTGGTCTTACTCTGATTAAAATAATCCGGGTCTTCATCAGGGTAATCATTCTTCCAATTATTCTCATCGTTACTATCCTCATCATCATCCTGACCATATCCAGCATCTTCCTCCTCTTCTGTCACCACGGGCTGGGAGAGGTTGTAAGGATCCAGGCCTAGCACAACATGCTCTGAAGCGAAATCAAAATCTGAGCTCTCTGCATAGTAAAGATCATAAACATATTCATCGGTGTCACGTCGGTGGGTATCTCCATCACTAATCGTTAACTTCTCTCGTAGCATCCTAACATTGTTGCACATAACGACATCATCATCATCATCTTCATCATCTAAAGATGCAAGTTTGGCCTAGAAGAAAAATTAAAAAATTATAATGAGTATTGTGTATGTTGAGCTAAAAGTATTCAATATGACAACTCAGTACTTTTTATTCACATAATAGAGCATATAGCTCGGTTGACTGGTGGTAGCACAGTGTTTACGCTGTTTCAATTCTATTCCTTATCTCCATGTGTTTCAATTTAAAGATTTTTAAAGAGAAAGGTTTTGACATGTGTTTTGAAAGACTAATTTTTCAATGCCAGTAGCTAGCAGAAGTGCCATAACTTTATCCTTGGTGATTCGAAATACTAAATGATACTGTATAAGATTGTTCTTATTATTTTTTGTATACTGTTCTTTAATAAGACTAAAATAAACACATCCCAATAATCACGAGAAAGTGTTTGTGCCTTTTTTTTTCCAAGAACAGAGCATAATATTTACTTTAAAAAAACTACTAGTTCCTTCTAAATAATCACATGAAATCCAAACAAGTCAATCTAAACTGATTTTATGGGTATAATGTCAACACCTGCATTACACGTCTGCAATTGTTTCTGGGTCACCAGTTTTGAAACTTCCTAATCAAAATATAATACGGTGATAGCTGGGCTGCCATTAAAAATACACAGGAAACAGAAGGTGAATGTAGACTTGTAGCATATACACCATTATGGTTTCCTTTCCCCATTTATGCATCCAGCAAATAGTAACACTGCTTTCACCGCAATACTTACATGTTGTATCTTTAATGCTCGGTATAAACGTCTGTTATTATTATTATTATTATGCTGAACTCATGACAGTTATAAATTGTTAACAGATGCAATTTGTCAGGTTGTTGAACTTTTACTTTGTATGTGGACTTTGTTTTATTGTTTTTATCACACACATATAAAATATAAATTAAGTAACGATAAATATTACAATTAAAATTACATTTTCTAAACAAAAGCAGAGAGAGAGAGAAAAAAAAGAAGTGTGCAGTAGGTGGTCAAAATAAGTTTGTAAAACAAACTTCATAAGACATGACCACTAGTTAAAACAAATAATAATAATAATAATAATAATAATAATAATATATATATATATATATTATGCCTAGTGATAGCGGCAGTTTGGCGCAGCGGTTGACGTTTGGGCTTTTAATCGTAAGGTCGGGGTTTTGCGTCTCCGCTGTGCAGATTCGCTTGTGTCCTTGGGCAAGGCACTTTAGCTACATTGCTTCAGTCCACCCAGCTGTAATAATGGGTGTATGTATGTATATATATAAATAAATAAATATATAATAAATCAATTAATAAAGTAAAATATTCATAATACTGTAAATAAAATAGTAAAGACTTCACTTTACTACCATAGTAATTTAATGCCAACCACATATTAATCTCCCTGGGGAGTGCTCCATTATGCTGTAGACTAGTAATCACTGCATTGATATTTGGATCTACAAGATGAACACTTACTGTATACTTGACTAAAGTGAGTACGCAATGAGGACAGAGTGCCACGTCGAAGTACACAAAAAAGTCGCCAGAGTAAAATCAAGCCCCCAACCCTAAGATGCCCCTGGGTACAGGTTAGCTGGAGTCAGGTGTTCAGTACTACATCTAGGTACAGAGCTCAAAGTGTAATAAAATTTACAGTTGCAAGCTAAACTAAATTCTCTGATACGTCAACAAGAGTAAATACAAAATAAACTCATTACTTAATAACTCATGATGTTTGGAAGCTTCCACGAAAAGTTATCACATTATTAAAGCAATTAATTTATTTATAGTGCTGAACTTTTGACTACCATTATAATTTCTAAATTGATGTCATAAAAATCGTAGCTACTTACTGGTTTGTTAGACAAAATGTCATCGAGATTTTCCTGTACGACTTCATAAATGTTAAACAACCTACGAGCCTCGTCTTCAACTTCTTTGGACGAGCCTGCGGTAGCATTAACAACACTCGCTGAGTGATCCCTGTTTGCAGATTTCGTTGACAACCTCCTAACAATTTTCTTCCTCAGCGATACCTTCTTAGGCTTGTCCGCTTCAGTGTCTTGGTTCGATACACTAAGAGTCTCATTTTGCTTTTCAAGGGAAATCCCCCTGTGTTTTGCTACCATACGGTACCTGTTGTTTATACTGGTTTGTTTTTGTTGCTGTTTAGCTTTAACATGAGCGGGTATGTTTCCTTTTGTTTTATACTGCAATTGACCTCGTTGGATTACATCCTCTATGTGTTTTGGCAAAGCTTGATCCTGGACAAAAAAATATATAAAACATTATGATATTAAATACAAAACTTACTTTGATGATTGCATCAGAAAATTTCATAGAAGTGATGTTTTTTTCACTATAAACAAATTTCCTTATGCAAACAACACTAAAATAGCATTGCAATACCCGCTGCTATTTGGAATCATATTCAACATTAGCCACTAATCACAAGCTCTGTGGTCTAGTGGTTATGACACCAGCCTAGTTATCTTGGGGTCGTGGGTTCGATTCCCACCTGAATCACTTGCAAGATTTTTTTCGCATGTATTTGGGAATGTAATGAGTATTCAGTATGATAACATGTCAGACAAGTCAAAACCGTGACTCCTATAATAATATACAAACTTGATATCAGAACATATAACATTCAGTTTTAAATATTTCTAAAAGTAATCTTTTTGTTCTTAAATTATACCATGGAGGAAAGAAAATCCTATCCTTTAAAATTAAAATAAAAAGTAACATCAATATTTGTTTACATGTTGATGTCTTTTAATTTTTTACATTTTTAAATAATTTCATAACAAGATATAAGGTGTTCTTGTTAATAATTGTCTTTTGATAATAATTGTTAATTGTACTGTTTATAAAATGTTTATAATTATTGTTTGATGGTTAATTAATTGTCTTTTTAACTGTCTGCACATTATTGTATAATAAAAATGTAAACATACTGAGCCTTTTCTAGTGTGATTGGCTGTTCTGAATGACAGATTTTCATTGGTTGCAAGTGAATGCTTCAATCACCATAGCTTCAAGCACGACAACCATTAAGGTAGACCTATAGCATTAACATTCTTTACCTCAAGAATTTAGCACACATATTTGTTTTAAAAACAAAGGTTTATTAGTGCCATTGGCAGATTAATGAGTTGGGGTTTTGGAGTAGAAAAATGCTAGAATAAATAAATACCATGCTTAGAATAGTACCAGAAAAGATGCTATCTTTTAGAACATATATTAAGTATATAGATTTGGTATGCCACCGTACAGCCTTGAGTAACTGTCATTCAGTCTTGAACAAAGTTTAAGGATGTCCATACAGTGGTTTTCAGCATGCAATAGCATATCCCTGGTACATACCTCTGTTTACTGTGTGCTGCATGTTTAGAAATAATTGACCAACAGAGGGCGCTATGATACTTAATGGTTGTATGTTAGAAGTAAACATAAAAAGATATATGAAGTCTGTTTTGACATTGTAACATTTTAGATACTGTATTCCACAATAAATAGATTGCAACATTCCACTACTACTATAAATTAATTCAAATGAAATCTTTTGAATAATTCAAACTTTCATATTATTTTTAAAGTCTCAGGCAATACAATAAATTTTATACTGTATTATACAAAATCTAAGGTAAAAAGGAGAGAAAATCACATACGGCCAAACATTGTACAGAATCACCTTACTAGCTATTACAGCAAAGCAATGGTAAAAGTTGCAAAGCTTATGACTGGAAAACAAGACCCAAGGGACATAGCCAGCTGTAAGCTTTACTTTAATTGACTATTTAAGTCCCAAGAGCAACGTTTTTATATCCTAATAATGTGAATTCAAACTCTGAGGCAATGTTCATTTATATCAGCTGTTTTTCTCTTGCTACTTGGATATAAACAAATGTTCGCCATCAACCAATAACAGGAATCAATCAGAATCTACGAGAACATAATATTTAGTTAAAGCCAGGCACTCATTTCATCGTACGACGGTCATACAAGGAGCGGAATTGGATCCGTCGTACAACGAATCCAACTCAGCTCCTTGCATGTGCTAGACGATGCAAAGCTGTCTGCTGATTGTCGATGGCATTCTGAACAAATTGTCATAAAAAAACGATGCTATACGCGCGCCGTGCCAGTGTTCTTCATAGAATAATACGTATTGAATACCGGCTTTAGATTCGGGGGAATGGAAGAGGTGTACAACCACATCTTCTTCTTGACTACTACTTTTTTTGGCAAAATCAGGGGTTCCAAGTTGGAAGAAGTCACTTCCAGGATGGTCAATGGTCATATTTATAAAGCGCCTTTCACAGAAAAAAACCGTCTCAAGGCGCTTTTTAAGCCACAAGAAACAAAAACAAAAATTAACGCGAAGGGAGCGGGGAAAGCGCACCTCGATTTTGAGATAGCGTCGCCATCACTACTGTGTACACACAGGTACCTCGGCTTCAGTTTGCTGGGCTCTGTAAGCTTCCATCGAGGATAAGCCTATGGCTCCCCTACTGTGCACTTCTAAGTTGGCGGCGCTACCTCAAGTACAGTAAGGAGTAGATCTGGTTAAATGAGCTTTAACACATCTAATTTTATTTTCTGCCTATTTTCACCAATTTCTGTGAGACAATTAATAAATAAAGTAGTAAAAACATGCGGATATTATGAATTTGCAGAAGATGGGCCACTCTCTGGGAGATGCATGCTTGCATGAGTGAGGGAGGCTGTTGCAATTTCCGGGAGCCTCCTGCTACTTGCAAGAGACTTCAGAACCTTGCAACATTCTCTGTTGCTGTAATCCCAAACTTCATCATTTTTTGAAAAATTGATTTCATGATAATGATTTGACTTGGTAAACATTGTATACCCCAAAACTCACAAAATAACATTTGCTGTACAGTAGCACCACTGACAAATTGTATTCTGCCATTGATATTGGAACTATACAAATCCATGTTGATTGATTGAATTGAGAAGAATTTTCAGATGTTTGTAATTTCTTATAAGATGCACATCAACAAATGAAACATTAAACAAAAACATGAACATATAAAATAAGGTATATGCAATTTATAAACATGTGTAGGCCTATATAGAAACATTGGAATGGGTGTATATGTATTATAAACATCTGCATTTGGTCAGGAATATATTGTGAAAATTACCATACGTATAATACCCTCTGTTGTAAAGTATTCATAAGAAAAAATATAATTAATGATATTATTTGACAATAATATTCCAATTTTCATAGTCAATTACGTATCTAGAGTATATATATATATATATATATATATATATATGAGCTTGACAAAGGTTGATAACCGAAAACGTTTGCTCACTATTAAATAAATATATACCTGGCAACTATATGTTTCATTATAGGCCTAATGGTACATGGATGACATTTTAAAAACAAATAAATAAATTATTATAAAGCCACAACACTTCTTGAAAGTACATTATATTGATGAATTATTCAAAGGCATCCAATATGTGTAGTCATTGATTTCTCAAAATAACATTAATTATTAATAAACTGTCTAGAGCTTAAAATTCAATAAAATTAAAGGGCATTCTCTACTTCCTTTCCAATATTAATCTTATTATTGAATGTTAAAATTAAACATTTGGGGAATTTAAAGTGATTAAATTTAAAGTATATCCAGAAATATTGCACAAACAACTAGAGTAGTGATTTTGTATTAAATACCGTATGTATCTATATTCATGATGTTGTCAAACAAATTGGTTGACTATTATGCGATTATTTCACTAATTGTAGCTAATAAGAACTTTGAAGGTTTAATAAGCTCTTAATGGACTACATGCTAATCAATTTCAGCTCTAATTATATTTCACGCAACAGCGTTAATTGCTTTTAGGATAAATGATTCGGTGAGGATCAATTAGTAACACAGGACAATACAGAGCTCAACAGATGAACAAAGGAAAGTAGGTGGGGTTAGATGATTGACAGGCGCTTGCACACATGACCTACTAATAGCATCATGTTCGCTTGCACATGAGCGCACTTGGTAAAATCATAATCAGAATATTATGATCGGTACTCTATGACCGATACAGCTAGTTAAAAGATATACAAATTTCATCGTTACAACGTAGAAAGCAAGACCAGCAACTTACGATGTTACACAAAATCATTCACAGTAACGTTGATCTATCATTAAATGATTATCTAGAGTTGAACTGCCGTGCTGCCAGTGTGGCCAAGACTAGACATCATAACCCACTTACGCTTAGAATACCCTACACTAAAACTAATAGTTTCCAGAAATCTTTTTCCCTAACACTGCCATGGACTGGAACTCGCTACCTTACTTTCTAACCTGCATTAGTGACTCTGTCAAATTCAGGGAACTGGTTGCTGCACAGCACAAATTTGACTAAGTCCCCTCTGGCGGCCTCTACCTCTAATTGAGTGTTGTTTCAATTGGAGCTGATCAATTACCAATTAAGATCAAGATGAAATAGGCTCAAATGTGCTTTCCGTTGCATATTAATTTTCATATTGCTCCGTTTATTCACTGGACCAAATTTCATTTACTTGACAAATTAAGGTTTCCAAATGATAATGTTAAGGTGGGTCAGAAATCATATGGAAATTAGCCTCCTCCTCATCCTATATCCTCACTGCAATAAAGTCAAATTCATTTGTTTGTCTTTTTTTATTTAAAAAAATTTCATTCTGAATACTTTTGTCAAAGAAAATGGAAAAAAAAAAATTTAATCTATAATTATTGCCCTGTGTGAAGTGCTCATTCCCGTGTATTTCACTTATAAAAAAAAATTATTTTCAGAGTATTGAGTATGCATTTTCTAAACTGCTAGCAGAGTCAAGGACATACAACACATGCAGTGGCATATGTGGGCGCACGCCCCTCCAAAAAATACTTACTCCCCCGGCCGCCCCACCCAAAAAAAATTCATGTTTAAGTATTTAAAATTCACTTAAAATTACCTTATTATGCGAGCTAGCACCTCTCGCATAATCATTGAGTCATGCCCTCCACATAGCCTTCGTGCTCCCCTATTAGGTCCCCCACCCATTTTAAAACTACTAGATACGCCACTGAATACATGTTGTGGTGCTCTAAGCAACACCCTGATGGCGGGTTGTTCTCCTTCATGGCAATCAACACTGAAAACCGACAATTGACTGGGATACAATATAATAATTTCTATAAGTACACTTCCTACTTACAAATGCATTGAATATTGGTGATTAATTCACAACTAA